TTTGACGGACCAGGGTTTATCCTAAAAGGCCTTGTCTGGGAAACCAGAGCAGCACCAGAATCCTTTACATTTTTGTTGATCCCAAATGCCCGATATTAACAACCATAATTTATGAAAAAAAATCATAGCAGCCTTTTTCTTAAAAAAAAAACATTTATTGCCCTCAAAACATTTTTGTCCTATCTTAGTTACGTTAATTAACTTACAATTGCATGCACACGTTACACACATGCACAGACCTGGAACAGAAATTGTATCACACAAAATTTTGGTGTTTTGCGAGAATCGAACCGCTATCATGTAGCACCCCATACCCAACCACCGCATCAACTGTGCAAAGATCGAAAGAGAGAAAAATGTTGCATCGATTGAATGTCAAAATAATCAAACTAATGTTATTAAAACCATCTAAAAACAATATTTTAGTAGGTAGATATCAATTCCTAGGAAATAAAATATCTAAATACTTTACAGACGCATTTATGGTCAAGTAAACTAACAAAATATTATTTATAAATTTATTGATTGACTAGCTACTCTCGCGCGGTTTCACCCGCTGCTCGGCTCCATTTAATCGTAGCGTGATCTTTTATAGCCTATATCCCTCAGGAATATTGTAGCTATCTATCAGTGAAAGAATTTTGGAAATTCGATCAGCGGTTCCAAAGATTACCCCCTACATACAAACTTACAAATTTTACCTCTATATAATTATTAGTATAGATTGACAAAGGTATTAATGACAAAGATGAACTATGTAATTAAGTTGCAAGATTTCAATTCACAAACCTACATAAATACATTGTAGTTAAGTTAAATAAAAATATTTTGGACATACAATGGTAATCGCAGGCAAGCCCTCTTTTGAAAAACGAGCTTAAGCGCCTGTTGCTCCTATTGCAAGTTGAACTTAAGTCCAACAGGATTAAAAGAATTAGGTTCATTTTTAACTACTGTCGTATATAGGTACAATTGTCAATATTACTAAGATATGGATGAGTAATAAATACATGTCTATCCATCATTATTCTACATGATAAATTACGAATCGATCAATCATACAATGTCATTAGGTAAAAGTATTATTGTAATTAGCATATAGAAGAACATTACTTGTGTCTTTTAATGGGTTGGCAAAGGTAAACTTATAATATACTCATGTATAGTATTCCATATTTTGGTGCTTAGTACTACAGAAATATCAAAATATTTTACAAGAAAAATTATGTTTTTCTCAACGCATCAAAGCCCCAGTGCACATGAACCAATTAACGGTAACATCATCGTCATCATCATCATCAGCCTATAAGTGTTTTCTGCTGAGCAAAGTCCTCTTCCCACACGGAGATTTGAGCATTAATCACCACGTTTGCTCAAGGTGGATTGGCGATTTCTAATTTACAATTAGAAACTATAAGTGCAGGCTACCTGTTGATGTGATGTTTTCCTTCACCAGTAAGTCAGTGGTGTCTAAATAATTATAGAAAGTACATATAACTCGGAAAAACTAACATTGGTAATAAAGATGAGATGTTAAGATTACTTCAAATGCATATATCACCTCTTTCCTTAAAACCGGAATGTAGATGCACAGATTATACAAAGGTACAATATGTCACCTTGCAAGGGTTGCGGTGCGTGTCCGTGGGGCGCAATCAATTAGTGAGCCGGGTATACCGAGCACTTCCGTTTCCGAGCGTTTAGGGACTTCCGGCAGGGGCGGAATGATCGCCCTCTGTATTCAAATATTCCGTTCCAAAATTTTTACAATGTATTAAATACTTTATGTCATTACATTTAGAGTTTGAACTTGTATTTCAAGTGTATTTGTGGTACATTGTACAATGTAAATGTACTAAAATATTACAGGTATGCTAAAAATAACTTTAATGTTGTTAAGTTAGAGTTTAAAATTGTGTTTGAAAAGTTTATGGTGGACTGTACTAATAACTATTGTGTTCGACACGTCACCACGGTAGTCTGTAATTGTAATTTATGGTGTCGTTCCTCATTAGTTTATGGACAGTTAAAGTTTTGTTGCTTGATGTGATTGTGACCTTAAAAAACTTTATTAATTTACTTAGAATATGTATACTTGTGTTTTGTCTAGAACTGTCTGGATTGTTTTTGATCTGGTGGAAACGGATTGATCTAACTGCATACTTCATATATGAAGCAGCCAAAGCTTTTTGAGGTGTCAAGACTAACACCTACGATACTCAATAATGTGCTCTCTATCATATATATTTTGAAGGTTAAATTTACATCGCACTTTTTAGTTGATAATATCAACACTACAAATTTAAAATCCCTATTAACTTGACAATGAGTCTAATGACATATTAAGTAGCGAAAAGTAGGGGTCAGCCAATATATAGGTCTGCCATTCGGGAAATGACAAACATGCATTACAGTATTATATTACTTTTATTACATTCTATCATTACATTTCTAGAAAACTTGGTAAGTACTTATTTAATTTTTTTTTTTGGTTTAGGACAATTTTGCCTTAGAAAGTGTATTAAGTGGTGCAACAATTATTTCCGATAATAGTTGTCTATGTGAATGAAGTTCAAGAGTAAAGTCTTTGATTATTAATTATCAATTCTGAATTCATTCAAAACTAGAAATCTGCACTTGTTTTTTTCAATACAAATCATTGTTTTTAGATAATCTCAATTAAGTAATTATTAGCGTGAAATACGACAAAGCTTATCCTTTCCATACTTGTTTAAAAATTCATTCAAAAAATCAAACTGCGTTTAAAATCTATCAATGTGCGTGTTTATTTAAAAAAAACGTAAAAGCCACATTTTTGTACATTTAAATAAGTTAACTTGCCATTGATTATTTATTAATAATATCCACTCCACTTATTGATAACACGTAATATTGATATCAGTCACTAAGTCCTCTATCGGAATTGCTATCTTGCAATCAAATGATATCAAATATATCAATTAAACGACCCATTTAGTTAATGTTGATTAAAATATGAACGTAATCTAAACTTTTTTTACTTTACTACATCGTACATATATACATATAATACAAAGTCGCTTTCTCTGTCCCTATATCCCTATAGTCTTAATAGTCCCTACATATATCCCTATGTATGCTTAAATCTTTAAAAGTACGCAACGGATTTTGATGCGATTCTTTTTTGTAGACGGGTGATTGGAGAGGAATGTTTATATGTATTATTACAAATATTATATAGTTGAGAAAAGTTGTATTAGCACAGCACCCGGACGAGGGCTGATCGGTAGTATTGTAATAAGCCAAAAAGTACTGCTTTTTGTCTCTCGCTCGACTTGAATGTTTACATACAAAACTGTTAATGTAATTAGTTTTAATTTGTCTTTCTTTAGATTCTTAATCCGTTAATTTTATGTTATGTACCTATGTTAGAAATTACATTAATGTAACAAAACATTAACTAGAATTGAAATAACAGAAATAGATACCTCTAAACGTATTTAAAATACTGTTAAAATTTATCGCAATAAAATCAAATAGATAATTTATCGATGGTTTTTACGTACTATCATTTCACCAGATAGTTATTTATTAATATAAAAAAATAACCAAATGAAATAATTTAAGTCCGTGTGATTTTTTTTTAATCAAAATGATAAACAGTTCCAAATATATTCACCTATGAATCCCACACAAAATGTCTCCTAGCTCCACATATACATTTTGAATTACAATTCAACAGTCCCGTTCATCACCTTGATACATTTCCTAACATTTTAGACAGTACAAATTATCATAAAATACATTTTAATGCCGCAGCACACATGTATAACTGACCCCCTCGAAGGCAGCATCACACACGTTGCGATCTCACATTTTTTTTACGTTGACAACACTGGCACAAAATGGTGGTAAAAAAACCATGTGTATAGAACAAAAAATGTTCCTTTTACAAACAGCTGAGCGTTGATAAGCGCGGGATTTCGAGGTTTGAGTTGGTGAGGTTTTAACAATATTTTAGGGGGAAGAGTTGTATATAACTTTTTTATGAAAACAGTGTTTCGAAACGTCTTTGAAGATTTGTAAAATTACGCCTTTAGATATATTTAATCCTTTAAGAGCTAATTTTTTAATAGTCAAATAAACGTTATCTGACGAATAAAATGGTTGCTGTCACTGTCTTATACAAACATTCTGATGGGACAGGATCATAATTATTCCCCAGGTAACTTTTATCTAACCAAAAAATCAGTGCTATGTATTGTAAAAAGAAATGACGTATTTGTTTTTCTCTTATATGTTAACACTCGTTGTAAGTAAATAGTTTCTAGAAAAAAATAACAAAGAAGTCGGTTAACAAAATAGATTTTAATTGGGTTCCATATCTTTAAAAATATTCGGACCACAACTTCCGTTCTTTTAGTTCTAAGTATATGCTGTTGATACAGCCGATAATCTCCCGTGCCTACGGCGTCGATAAAATAATTTATTATGTAGAAAGTTATTATAACTTTTTAACCTCCATCATTCCTAGGTTTCTTTTAAATTTCCTTTTTCCTTGTCAAGAAGAAATCACCCTGTGTGACACCCCCGTTGTACACATTATAAGTCTGTTTTTGTTGATTTGTTATGTGTGCAGTAAAGTAAGTAATATATAAATATAGAGTTCATAAGTTGAAGTTTAAAAACAGTTTTAATATGCACTGAAATACGAATGAAGGCCGATCTTTGTAATAAAAATAAAGGACAGGTTTGTTGTGATAGTAGCACTAATGTAATAGTGGAATTTATTAGTGTGTTATAAATTTTCCGTCGCCTTATTGTCTGTTAATTCAGTTACAGATTCAGTTAAGTTATTTGTTTCATTTTCCAAAAATAAAACAGGTGTACTTAACAAATTTAAATATAAAATTGTTACACAAGTAGCGAGTTAACAGTACCAGTTGCTTTTAGTGTTGCCCTATTTCCCGAAGCCGGTTGACTTATCTCCAACACATCGATAAGGTAAGCGTGTCACTAACCTGGCGCCAGGTTCCCTCTGGGTTTGGCTCCTAGAATAGCGAGGTTGACGTTTGCTTTCCTCCCGTCAATGATAGGGTTTGGGTCCTTACACGCCCTCTCCGCAGCCGCTCTGTCTCCCATTATCACCTGTAGACAAAAAACAAACTTATTTCTGACAATTTAAACGTTATTTTACACTGAATTCATTTAAATAACAAATACGAATGATGACGTCGAACCTACATTACCTATTGTAATGCATGCGTGATCCGCAGGTCGCCACCTCATCGCTTCTACTGTTGTATCGACCATTTTGAATTGACCTACCGTGTCGCATGTTATTGACAAAAAACTATAAAACCAGGGGATCATTTTAAAGTAGAAGGTTAGCGTATGGCAAATGTTTGATAACCTCTAGATACCGAAAGTCTGGAACAATTTGAAAATTTAAATTTATTTAGATTTTTTATTTGTGTCCGCTGTGGAGATCTACTTGTGTTGTTCGAATCTATTCCATCATTCATCACTTTGGTAAGAAAACATCTATGTAGATATCTGTTTTATCTACGACTCTTTTGTGTGCCTTGTAAAGTATTTTTATATATTTCCGATTATTTTTACCTTTGAAAATGGATTATTTATACAGAAACCCGGCAAATTTAAGAATTCAACAGGTATTGTATGTAAATTCCTTCGAGGATTGGGGAGCAAGTATGAATTATAGAAATGAATCGGCGTCGTGTAGTCTTCATGGATTTAGTAAACCGTAGAAATCGCAGTTAGGCGCGGTTTGCGATAACGAATACTATCGACTAGCTACCGATTGCCTGCAAGTTGGTAGGTCGAGTTTATTATAACGAGGTTTTAAAACAACCGATGTTATTTTGTTTTCAATTAAATGAATTATTTCACACATACATCTACAATCTACAAATTCTGTGAAAGCTTTATTCGAGTTGCTTAATACGTTGAAATTGCAATTAAATACACTAATTACTTATATAATGAAGTGTTTTGTACAGATTGTGATTTGATTAATTATTTTGTGTTACTTGTGAAAGATTAATTTTCCATAGAACACTAGTAAAGTTTACTAAACATTCGTATAGTAAACCTAAATTTTGTACTACATAAACGAACTTATCCGTTACCCGTTGTTCTCTTAACGAATGTAGGTAACATGCATAATTATTCCACCGTCAAATGCAACGTGAAACTTGACGAGAATGCACAGTTTATTTAAATTTTACTTTTCCAATATCGTACCGGGCGGCTTAAAGACTTATAACATTTATGAAAATTGTGCAACTTTTTCTAGTTCCAAGTATATAATATATTATAGTATTGACAATGTTTCCATTTACAAATTAAGCGCTAAGGAATAATTATGATGCTGTCGCGTCAGAATGTTTGTATAAGACAGTGACAGCAACAATTTTAGTCCTCAGATAATATTTATCTGACTATTGAAAATCAGCCCTAAGTCTGATTAAAGATATCTGGCTGGTCTGGCTGTTTCTGCAAGTAGCAAACACACGAATTAATGGTCTAGGATAAAAAAAGGTTTAAACTACTTTTCCATCGTTCAACAAGAGTCAACGTTTGGATTCAAACATAGGCCTGTGTAAAACTCACGAATTTGCTCCATAAAAATATAAATATTAATCACAGATTGCATATTTTTAACATTGTCAAAGATGTAAAGATTTTCATAAATGTTTACATTAAATGTTAAAGAATATCATGATCCAAATTGGCTAAACTTCTTGAATAATAGAAGTCAAGAACATGTCGATTTGTTCATTGTATTATTAGTTATCGCAATTAGGGATGAAATATTTTTATACTTAGTTAGTCATTTTCTATTGAAGATGAGACTTAAAACCAAATAGAAAAACAAAAACATAGATATTTCCACTTCTACAAAACTTTATTTCCACAAAACTAGTTCCCCGTATACCTACAGATAATCATAAAATGAAATAACTATTTAATTCACCAACACTATTGATTGGTATAATCAAGCAGTTCTGCGGGCACCTCAACCTTCAACCAAACATTTTTTGTGCAGTGCATTCGAAAAAACATCACGTTCATTAAAGATTAACATCCACTTACAATTGCAATGTCAAAACTTCACACTTCAACTTCTTATTTCAATGAACAAATAGCCTTGTATATTACAGACTAGCTTCCGGCCGCTGCTTTGCCCGCGTGGCATGTTGATAAAAGCAGCCTGTGTGGTTATCCGGGGGTTCAGATATATTTATACCAAATTTCAACCAAATCGATCCAGCCGTTTTTGCGTTAAAGCATGACAAACATACATCCATGCTTTCTCGCATACTATGACATTTTAATATTAGTAGGACTTCAGAGGCATCCTACTAAAGGTGAATTACATTTCACTAGGTACTCGATTTTACATCTTCGACAATACTCAATCCTCAGTAAAAGCGAAACTTCAAAACTACACCTAATATTTGACAATAACCTTGACTCCTACAAAAATGGCTTTCTTATCATACTTTATGAATGAAAAATGAGTGAATTTATAATAAGGTACAGTTAAAGAAAAAAAAAAAAAGAAAATTCGCCGACACATGTCAGTTAATAACCGAACAAATTTTAAGTAAGATCAAACGATTTTGATACTTGCCACGTTCACTGGCACAGTAGCATATTCAACAGAGTTACGGAAATATAAATAAATAACAAACTCCATTGTCTAGATAAATACTGTCATTATTTTAATATTCGTCGCTGAGATACAAGTTAGATTCCCCGCCGTAGCTCAATATTTGTATGAAGTGACCTTCGCCGCAAGAATAACAGAATTGCATTTTGCTTTTTAGATCTATTAAAACTTATTTTTTTATTAATATTTCATTAGTTGCCACGACTTTTTGGGAAGATAATAAGACTTTTAATAAATTGGATAAGGTATTGTATTGGATTTTAATATACTTATAGAGAGAATAACGACCTGCACCAGCTTCACAATAGAGCAATGCTGATACGACATTTCTCCACTATATAATGTATGTACATATACATATAAACCTTCTCCTTTAATCACTCTATCTATTAAAAGAAACGGCATCAAAATCTGTTGCGTAGTTTCAAAGATTTAAGCATACATAGGAATATAGGGAGACGCTTGTTTTTTAAATGTTTTTACTTAGAAAGAGATGTAGGCACAATGTGTATTAGTTTTATACATTATACGTCAATTAACACATTTTCTACTGCCTACATTTTCAGCGAAAAATAAGCAAACTGTTACGTTTATTGTTCAAAGAAATAATGATACAAATGCCGTAATTTTAACGATCAACCATCACAATAACTGGTCTATACCAGTTTTGCATAATTAACTAACAACGTCGATGAGTAAAAAAATAATAAAAGTGACAACGAAAAATCTTATAAATATTTAATTGTTATAAGTGTGAAAATTATTTGAGCGTATTCCCGCGTCAATGTAACAGCAGCCTTAAAAGTCTACGGCGTAGCCCGTAGCCGGGAGGCGTGTCCAAGATCCGCCCATATTGACGCGGCTCATGACACTTTCATAAGGAGGATTACAGTTTTCCGCCTTGTTATAAGTTAATTAATATTTAAACTATACCTATAATTGTTTAATTGTGTATGTCTTTTAGAGTAAATGGTTAGTGTATTCTGAATAATAATGGAACATTTTGAGATAGAAATTTTCTGAACATTAGGTATTTTTATTATCTAGTCTGATTTGATTAACTAATTGTTTATTTATCCTGATAATCCTAATCCTATTGATTTAATTATTATTGACAATGGTAGGACACCTTAAGTCAGAGAGTCTTGATTGAACACGAATGCGTTGGCTCGATCGGAGATGACCGGAAATGCACGCCGATTCTATGGGAGGCCGGGCAGAAAAACGGTGTGGATCAGCTACAGCGTTGTGTGACTGAGGTTTCCGGAGGTGCAATCTTTCTTCCCTGTCCCCAATGCTGCCCTAATCCCTAAATCGCCGAAACCCTAATCCCCAATGCACTCGTAAATTCTCTGCAGTTGCTAGTTTGCCGTTATATCACATTTAAAACAATTATTTCTGTGTCTTCTTAATTCATAAAATTGTTTTTAATTTACTTTATATTACAAAATAAGTGTGTGAGAAGTGGGACAGTCGCAGTCTCATTTATATAAATATCTATTATTATCGTTAATTATATTTTATAGATATCGTTTTCTATAACATTCGTTATAAGATAGTTGCTTTCTTAAACAGTTTATACATAAACTGTATTATAAATAGCAAGGTTGGTTTTTATTTCTTTATTATTAAGGTTGATTAAGCGATAACAAATGCAATTGTTTGTGATAACACTCTTATCACTATCGTACAGTTTACTGATTAATTCATCCGAATCTGATTTAGAAACACGATATTTAAGTATATTTTTGTTGATATTTCCTTTCAGATTAATTTGTTGATTATTTTTTTAACAGCAAAAATATGTCGCTCCTCACTTATGGGTTCATGTCCTACGTCCTCGCTCCTTCGCGTTACGAGGAGTTGGCCTTCCCTAAAATGAATCTATGGATTTCATGGATTCAAAGAAGAGAGGAAAATGCAGACCGCTAACCAATATAGAGATAGGATATCGATTCATGAAGGAGTAATTGGTCTTCCCGATAGGTTTCCGTTCCACCTTAGCTGGTCTAGATGTAAGTTACTTTTTTAAAACTGTCTCAAACATACTCATTACGAAATTTGTCTTTGAGAGTACCACCACCGGCGTACCGTGCTATATTAGCATGCAGCCTCTGTTTCTGCGTCTTCTTCGTGACCAACGTCTAGCTTCCATGAAGAATTATGAATGGTGAAAAAGATATTATTTGTGAATGAATTCTCTCATCGTGTTTAAAAAGAACCTTAGTCCAAAGTTTATTAGATACATAATTACTTGTAACGTTAAAAAGACGTACTTATATTGTTTCTATATGTTATTTTCACCTCATTGGTGAGTTTCAAAATCGGGTCATGTACAGGGTGTATTATGTACTGTTTAATTAGGGTGTTCATTTTATTTACTAGTTAAAGTGGTGAGGGCGCATGCTACAAAATGTAGAAATGCCTTACATTTTGTTCTATATATGAAGTAAATTTGTATAGATTTTCCTACAGAATTTATAAGTTGTAATGATTTAGACCAGAACTTCACATCTGGTTTTTACCGTTTATTCCTGTTTAAAATTTATTTATTTTTATTTGCGTTTTTTTCATTGCATTAGATATGATTATTTAGAGCAACTGTTCGCGTTTGTTCTGATGACAATGCATTGCTGCAATATAGTTTGTCAAATACAACTAGGAAGAGATAAGTTACACTAGCTTATGTATTACCTAAAGATCTCTTCAAACGATTTAGGTAAAAACAAAAACCGAAGTTTTTTTATTAAATTAGCGACATAATGGTTCAAGCATTGTAGATATTACTCTAGAGGTATTTTTCTCACAGTTCTACAGTCGTTTATTGTATTATTCGTTGTTAGATGTACCCGTACACTATCAGATGACGCTCTTTTGTTTTCCACAAGTACTTCAGCACGTCCCGGCTGGAGCCGGCTGCCGGGCGCTTCGACCCAATGCTTAACTAGAGCGAAGGGACTTGTACCAACTCACAAAGAAAACGAACAATTATACAACACTAAACGGTTGATATAAGGACTACTATGCTAGTTTCTCTAATACCAATCAGACACTGCGTCTAATACCGCTTTCAACGCAATTTACATTAACATTAACAATCAATTACAAACAAGTCATCGTTTACAAAATAATGATTTAAAGTTCACAGCCGTGACAAATGTTTAATAGCGTATTAGCATCATTAATTCTACACACTTACATAAATCTTTTATCGAAACTAACTTATGGCGTTATGAGTTGATTTCGAAAATAAAATTTTAGTTTATAACACAATTGTAAAGTGTTACGAACGATGTATTGCGATTATTACAGCTATATGGTTGTCATAGGGAGGGTGCTGCGCGTCGTGTTCCCTCAGGGTCTCACCACCCCTAGTACGAATTGAAAATAGGGTTGTGATTCATTTCTCACGAGACCCACGCTGCACCCAACAAAACCCTCTAACTTTATTACATACAACTAGCTGCACGGAAAAAAGCGTCGTTCACTGCATCTGTTGTTTAGAAATAATAAATACATTTCGTGAAATATCTACGAATACATCAAATGTACTACATGAATATCGCGAGTCTAATTCATTTTATATGCACACTGCTTGAGTAAGGAGGTGAATATTTTTGCTACCCATTATAATACATTTCCGATTCACGTGGCCGTGACATATCTGCGTATTGGCACACTAGTTCCCGACACGATGCTGCATCATCCTGAAATGGAAATCAACAGCGCTGATGTCGATGTATCTTAAAGGAAGTGCGCATCGTGCCCTCTATTTCAGTGGTACATTCATTGTTTGACATTTATACCTGCGTGGAACAACTTCCGTGTTTGATGTAATTTTGCGATACACCTCGTATGTGTACATGTATGTGCTTAGTTGCCGGTGGGTTAGGTATAATGTAGGTAGCAATGAGGTGCGATAACGCGCTAACTGTGCGATACGGTCGGTGTTTCAGAGCCGACACGAGTCGACTGCGCACGAGCATTAAAAGTTTACGTGTCAATTCAGTTTCACATACCCGATGCTTTCGTTTCATGAAAATAAGTTACGATGTTAGTTTCGGGTGTTCAACATAAACATCGCTTAATTTATGGTTAAAAATACTTACGAAGCCATATCCTCTGCTTTTGCTGGTCTGTCTGTCTGTGATGACGACCGCTTCCTCGATGTCGCCGTAGACTGCAAAGTGTTCTCTTAGACTCTTGTCAGTTGTGTGGTACGGAAGTCCCCCGACAAACAGCTTGGTCCAGGTGGTGTCTTTCTGGCCTGGCAGCGCGCCCAGTGCCAGCAGCCCCTCGGGCTCGGCCGGCAGAGCGCCCGCCATCAACATGCCTTGCACAGCCTCCGTCGCGCCGGCCACCGTTGCACTCTGCTAACACTGTCACTGCGGCCGCTGTCGCGGTCTCTCAGGCTACGGTTCGCGCGGGTGTAGCTTAAGTTACAGTTGTAAACACTGCGTGCGTGTGGGAGCGACCGTTCGTCGTGGTGGTTGAGCGCGGACTGATGCTCGCTCGCAGCGCACGTGGCGCTCCGGTACTAATTTTAGCCCCCGCCGCGCCCCCCTCGTCACCAGATGCGTCGCCACCGTCCCGGCCACATGCGTTGCGTGCCCTACCATGCCCTACTGCCTGCTACCCTCCACTCACGCTTAATGATATGCCTCGTTATCACAGTTGTGTTGGTCTTCGAGGAACCTACTTCCTCGCACCTTTCGCCTAAGCTATGTATGTGGGACAGAAATTGACAAAATAGGATACACTTGAGTCAATAACAAAATTTTAGCAATTTTTTTTTTTTACAATGATATTACAGAATAATTTTTCATATGTTCGCTGCATGTAAAAGTTTAAAAGTAGAATGCAGAGTGAAAGATGACTAAGCAGGTAGCATAGTCCATTTTTTAAACGGGGTTCTAATGACCGACTTATTATCGTTCGTAGAAGCCACGCCAAATTTGTCCGTCTACTTTAAAGCAAGAACAAAGACAAACAATTTGTAGACACGCGTAAATAATTACGAATAGTAATGAATTGGTCAAAATGTCTGAACGATGACCTCACAAACTCACAATACGCTGAAGTATTAACACTTATTTTCTGACCTTGCATAACAGCATAAAACATATAACTTAAAGTTATTGTTGTAATATACAAAATGTGTAAGTGAAAGAAAAAATCTTCCATATATTCGCTGCTTTAAATTATGCTATTTTCGTTTTTATTTCTAAAAACCAATTTAGTTTGTATATAAAAATGTGTGACTTATTGCATTGCAATAAGACATAAAATTATACAGACAGTAATCTCAGTCTCATCTTTGGAACAAAGTTTTTTTGTCTCTGTCTAACGGTTAAAAAAACACGTCCCATTCAAAAAGGATCCCTAGACAGATTTTGACATAAAAGCATGGAAACAATGGGGCAGTCAGTCCGGGGTTTGAGTCCATAATTCTAAGGGTAAAAAGCAAAGCAAGTATACCTAATATTGATTCTAACAATTAAGTGTACCTTATCATCGGCATCATCATCAGCCGAAATACGCTTTCATCATTACACCGTCAGGCTAAAGGCACTGCTGAGCAAAGAACTCTTCTCACACGCAAGAAGATTTAATCATAAATCGCCACGCTATCTCAAGATGATTTCAAATTTATTACTACTTAGAACTTATAAAGTTAGTACTTAAGATGTTTCCTTTTTGTCAGTGGTGTCATTTTCAAAGTAGGTAAATTACGAATAGAAATGAATACATATAATACATATAACTTAAAAAGTCTCCTTGGTACTTGCTAGGTTTCGAACTTAGCACATGCATGAGATGCGGGAGTTTTTTACCCTCCGTGCAATTACAAGCATAGCATGATAGCCATAATTCTCACGTTTGGCAGACGACTTTGGAATCGCTGTTAAGTATTTAAAATATTAAAGGATCTTGTTGCTCATCCATTCGCATACCTAGCTCCATAAGTGTCTTGTTATTCATCATCAGCCTATAAGTGCTACAGAAGATTCGAACATTAATCACTACGCTTGCTCAGTGCCAATCGGCGATTGCAATCTTTATCTAAACCGATCTGAGCTGGATCTAAGAAATCACATAAATGAACTAGAAAAAAAGTCACATCGGTACCTTTATTCTATATAAATTACCCAAACCCAACACAAACTTTCCATAATAATTTCCCAAACTTAACCCAAACTCCAATCTTTCGATTTTGTTCTTATTAATTGGCCATTTTGAGACGCAAATAAAAACCTATTAACCCTTAAAATTCACTAGCTACTCACGCGGTTTCACCCGCTGCTTGGCTCCATTTGATCGTAGCGTGAGGTTTTTGCTACCCATATAGCCTATAGCATTCAGGAATATTGTAGCTATCTATCAGTAAAAGAATTTTGGCAATCCGACCAGCGGTTTCAAAGATTACCCCCAACATTCAAACTTACAAAATTTTACCTCTTTATAATATTAGTATACTATACATAAAAAATGTACTAACCTTAAACAAAGCTTTGTATTTTAAACTTAATTTACACGATTTGCAGGCTAGAAACTTGTCATGTACAAGCTGCTGTGCAACCTGTTGCAGATTCAATTCCCAAGTGTGACAACTACAATGTACTATTAATGTTTTGTATGATCAACCAATTGAGTAGTTTTCTAGGTCAAAAATATATTAATTTAGCATCATCATTCATCGATATTTCTACACTAAATTTTCGATATTTCTTAGCAATTTTTTTAAGAAATAAGCAATCTACTTGACGTATAAATACTATGACGTCATTATTTGGAGTTCTATAAGTGTAAAAGTGTTAAAAGGTATGTGATGAATAAATAATTTCAATGCTTCAGCTTTAAATGTAACATATATCTATGTAACATATGTATTAGTTTATGATTTAATGTTATAATATATTCATGTATTGTATTCTCTATGGGCCTCAGATGCCTGACTTAAATAAATAAATAAAAAATTTAAGGTATACCAAGAGCAGGAGAAGGAACTGGGAATTTTTAGAAAATAAGATTCTGACACTGCCGCCTCAAGCTGGGCGAGAAAAGACCTTTGATGAGTTTACCCTCGAAAAAAAATTTGTGTTTTAATTCGAGCTCCTGAAAGTAAAATATTTTTAATGTGGTTTATTTTCTTTCTGAAGTATTGGCTTACAACTTCTGCTTAGTCCGTTGTGGAATCATAACAATAGTGGTCGGATTCTGTGTTTAATACACTTGGCTACTGCTGGGATTTGTGTTCTCAACGAGCGAACTAAGGTTAAGACCGAGTGTAATATTTATACTATACATTTAGTAAATAAACTAAAACCTAATTTACTTGGGAATCGTTTATTTTAAAATATTACGACTCTTTAGGTGTTTTGTAACTATGTTGAAGGGAATCGAGTTACTCACATTACTGTCCGATGAGGTGGTTCGTCTTATTTCAAGCCTCACCAAGGACCTACAATCAAGAGCACCATGCGCGATAGCCGACAAGACAAGCGACAGTAAACTTTAATCTGTGGGCAATAAGTTTGTATAGGCTCCTAGCGTAATATGAAAGTAGTAGTCCTTGTCTAGTAAAAGTTACGAAGGTTCGTACAACCTGACTCTACAAACTATCACCTATTTATTAATGCGAAAATGTGTACGTTTGTTTTTTACTCTTTAAAGAAGAAACAACTGAACGTTCTTGAATGAAATTCAGCAACAAGAGGTCTCGATTCTATTTGCAAAGTCGAGTTATTATACAAGAGTACTAATTACATAAATCTAGTAGTAAGTAAGTACCTATATACATATATTACTTGTATTCATTCATACACTTAAAATAAACCTTCATACAAACGTACAGTAGAAGGAAATAAGTTATGAATGGTACCAGGTCGGCCTAGTGACGCAGAGGAAGCGTACGGTTCCACATAGTGTTCACAAGAACAATGAGTTTCCCACAGCGAACCAACCGGCCCTTCCGGCCGTAACATGAGCCATTGATTGACAATTATAAATATCTTGGGACTAATTAATTTGTAGGTTTCATTTGATGATTATACAGTACGTCTTTTGTGAAATGGTTTTCAAGGGCCTCACAGAAAGTAATCCACAAATCTCCCAAATCCTGAAAGGTCGACGACGCACATGCAATTACTCTGATGATGCCGCTGTCTTTGGAATGCGCCGATTGCGTACCATCGGGTGATCTTTCAGATCATTTAGCCTTACCTTTAAAAAGTACCTAAGTTGTCTTTTCAACCACGAAGGCAGTAATTCAATTGTAAGAAGATTCCAGAAAATGAAACAAATTGTAGGTAGTTTAATTTTTCAATCATGGTAATTCGAGACACAATAGAATAACAATAGGTTCGCGATCGCTGGCGTTCGCTTGGGGTTTGATTAATTAAATCATTGCTAATTATCCTTTAAACAAACTTATCGTTATTATTAATTGAGTACAGTATAAACTCCCTGAAAACCGAACAATTTCATAATATTATTATAGTCTAATATCAAACTTGAAATCCTACACCGGAAATATGGTTAATTTTTTGGCAACAAAAGAAAATAATATTTGCTGTTAATTATGAGGAGTTTCTTTTACAATATTGTTGTACATATAATATAGAATTTACATATACAAACATACTATATATACATACAAGTATATCAATATCCATGTAACGCACCGTAGTATCTGACAGATGTCATATTACGCCATCAAGCGTGAAAAGGGGGAAACTTGGAAGAGTTCATAATGGAGTACGGAACGCTCACAATCACAGGGTCAATTCTCAGCCGTATTAGTTTTGTTCTAAATGAAAATTCTTGCAACAAGTTATGCTAAAAACATTAAAGCGATTATTGTTATACAATTTTTATAATAACTATCGTGAGACATACTAAATTAACTAAAAATCGCGGGTTACTCACGTGTAATATTGAGAAAAGCTCTACTAGTTTCGAACCACAGAGGTTATACAGTTTTGTAAGTAATGTTTACAAGTTTTTGGAATAAGTCTTTCATTTTACTTTAACCCTTATGTAAGATGTATTACAATCGAAATTAGGGACGCCAAGGTTGAGATGTTTCTTATTTAATAAAATTACTAAGTCTTAATCTATGTAAAGAGTAATCAAACATAGTCGGTAATTGAATGATGTAATCGTGAACAGTTTGAATTATTGCTTATGATCAATCAATACAAAAAACAAAGTCGCTTTCTCTATCCCTATGTGTGCCTAAATGTATAAAACTACGCTACGGATTTTGATGCGGTTTTTAATAAATAGACTGATTGAAGAGGAAGATTTAAATGTATAATAACATCCATTACAGTGCGGCCGCCGTATCTTGGCGAGTCTGAAGTTAACCGTTTGTCTGCGCAATTGATCTTTTAGGAACAAAATTGTGTACGTACTGCGCAGCTAAACGGCTAACTTCAGATTCGCCAAGATACGTCGGCCGCACTGTAAATAGTGGAGAAACTAAGTAGCAGCACCGGAAAAGTCAGGGCGGGTCGCTAGTATGCAATAATTCACACTTACGCTTATTGATGATAAGCAATCATTCACACTGTCACAATTAATACCCAATTATACTTTGTTAAACCGGGAAATCGACACCAAATAAGTAGTACAGTAAATAAACAAACTTAATTAACAATAGTCAATAAAAGATGGCGACCAATATACAACACTTCGATAGTAAAAGTAAGTGTGCTTTGAATACCAAATTCCATTAAAACACCTTCAGCAATTTTCGAGTTATAAACCTCCATCCGAACATTCATGATTCACATCCGAGAAATTAGGTATCGCTTACCTACTTTACCTACCTATTTTACCGAACAAGAATAAGTATAAAAAGATTTCAATTTAAAGACGAGATCAGAGCGCAGATGCATCACCTGAGGAATCAGCTGTTCCTTTTTTTTTAAATTTCGAATATAAAATGTTCCAAAAACTAAGCAGGCAAGGAACGGTATGGTACCTGATTTGAAGGGTGAGGGGTGGCAAGTTCATTGATCGCTTCTATTGTTGAAGCAGCGCGTGCGACGGCAGCTGCACCCCACCGCCCTACGCCAGGATACGCAGATGGTAGATATTGAACATTTTTTTCTATCAAACAATATCTATTATTCGTGATAAGTGAATAAACTTGGTGATAGATGAAGCAGCACAATGTATTAACGATTTAGTGCATGGCAACTGAAGCAATTAATTTTTGGACCATGTTTAAAAAAACAGCGAATATTATTAAAAGAAGTCATGTATGTAAAGTGACCGTTAAATAAAATTCGCACTGTATTCAGTCAACCAAAATTACAATCTTCTTCCTATAGAACTTGTTCATCCTGTTCAGATCTTTATTCTTATAAAAGTCCAGTGAACATGACTACTGGAGAATTCTCACAGCATCATTTGATAAAAGAATATCCTCTTTTAGTAAAATCAATAGAGAGGTTGCCCGGTAAGCGTTGCGCTGACGCACCCCTTTGTACTCCCTACTTCCCTTGTCACACGCGGTCGATAGCTACCACCGAATTTGGAACGATGTGTTGGCAAGATGTAAGTAGCTGCAATCGCTTTATTTTATTGACTATATGTGTGTGTATGTTTTTCTATGACTTATTTATGTTTTATTTGAGTTCATAACTTTATAAATATAATACTTATATTAAAATGAAAAGTTGATTGATACCATTACTATGGCATTACATTTTTTTTTATCTAAAATATTTTTTTGTATAGTTGTATGAGATCAGTTTTTATATTCATTTATGAAATAAAAATAATAAAATTATGTGTATTAATTAACCATTAATGGAAAAGAGCTTTATGTTTTCTATTTTTCTAAAAAAAGAAAAAGGTAGCTCTTCCGTTGTCCACTTAAGTTATTGGTTGTAGTCATTCAGCCTGATACGTCAATGTTTGTTTTTGTACCAACAATATCATCATCAATATAGACTGCTGATACTATATTAATAGGGTTTTCCCATGATCTCAACTCTTAGTATGTGATTTGGAAAATATTGTTTAAAAGGGTTCGTGACAGAACGCTGCCATACTATAGTATGTAATATAACACACAAAAAATTGTAGCAAATTTCCTCACGAAATAATCATCAGCCTTTAAGAACCTACTGCAGAGCAAAGGCCTCTTTTTACACTGAGAAGAATTGGCCATTCATTATGTGTGCTCAAAGCCGACTGGCGATTCCAAATATAAGTTTGAAGGAAACTCGGACTTAGAATTTCAAATTTTATAATTAGGTATACTAGACTAGCGGCCCGCCCCTGCTTCGCACGGGTCCAACTATCTCGCTATCAAAGGTTCACTTTTTCCTAATCTTCCCCTCTACTTTTCTAATATTTTCTTTGATAAGAACCTTATCCTGACAATAACAAACACAACAAAAAAAGAATTAGCAAAATCGGTTCAGGCGTTGTTGAGTTATGTGCTTACAACACATTTTGCGATCCATTTTTATATATAAGATATAGAATTATACTAGATAGATAGTTCTAATTTATCTAGGTATTTTTAAGTCGAGGTTTCTTCCCGATGTTTTCGTTTAACGAACTCAGTAGCATCAAGATCTTCATGAAAGTACGATTAGAAAAAAGTTGGCATGCATGAACATCTGTACTACTACGACCTATAGACATATAGACCTGTAAAAACGATCATACATGTACATTTGTTTACATATGTATTGTAGTTAGAATGTAGAAAACATCTCATTAACCTAGATCGACTTTATTTAAGTATAAAAATACATAGCCACGTTAAAAAGAAAATACTTTATTGTCACTAAGTAATCAACACGAAGAGACTAAAGCTATAACAGAAAGTAATATCGAATATGTCAGTCATGGACACCAATAAAACAAATATATTCCCATAAATTTCCAATAAATACAATGACACAATGTAATAAATAAATTATTTATTTATTAATTTATATTTTATGTCTTCACTGTCTATTCAAATGTCAAAAACAATACTTTTCTATGAAATTCGTATGAAAAACTGAGTTATCACGTCATAGTATTTTGCGTCAAATAGCTTAATTATTTCTTTAGAATTTAGCTACAAAATATCTAAAACTTAGTGTATCGATCGATCGATGAAAAAAAGTATAGTTATTTTTCAATATTTTATTGTATTGAAACGTAGAATTAATTTATTTTTGACCTAGTAAACTACCCAATTACTTACTTAGTAATATTTTTAAAAAAATAAACAAATGACTACAGTATTGGAAAAAATACAGAAGGTCATAAGTATAAGATTAATATTCTTTGATATGAAGTGTATAGGTATTATTATTAGGTACTTTATTTAATGAGCTAACGTACTTCAGTAGGGCTTTAAATATTTTAACTTGTGTACTTTGTAAGTAATTATAATTATTAATCTATGTATACATAGATGTGACATACGCCAACACTATATACAGAACTATATACTTTGTATCAAAGTAATAAGGTCAAAAATCTATATTTACTGCATAAGGATGATGATCTATTTATTATTAGGAAGTATTTTTAACCTGTAGCTTTTTAAAGTACTCTTATGTACTTCATCATCATGGGCCTGCCTATAAGTGCCCACTGCTGAGCTAAGGCCTCTTCTCACACGGAGAAGGTTTTAGCATGAATCACCACGCTTACTCAATGCGGGTTGGCGATTTCAAACTTATAATTAGAAATTAAAGTCCAGGTTTCCTCACGATGCGCGATGTTTTCCTTCACAGTATGTTAGTGGTGTCTAAATAACCATAGAAAGTACATATAACTCGGAAAAAGTCACATTAGTAGGTTTCGAACCCACACCCTCATGCATGAGAAGCGGGCTCCTTAACCTACGGGCCATCACAACCTCACTTACTTACATAACCAGAATGATGTCACATGTTAAGATTTGTTTTTATTAATAAATTAATTTTAATTAGACTGAATATTGGCACGCACTATTGTATTTGATATCCTGTAATGACTGGTTGTTTGTGGGGGTGGTAAATAAATAAAATAAACAAATTTTATGGAACTGCTCAAAATATGCATTCTTGGTTCCCAAAGACGAATCTTCCGCCTAACTGTCCAGTCTAATTGAACGTTTGTTACTCCGTAATTAGACTTTGATCGGTTGACTAACAATACGATGTGTTTACGCGTATATTCAAAAAGAGCTGTTTCTATTATGTTTTTATGTGATAGGTCGGCAAACAATCAGACTTATTACCTGATGGTAAGCAATCAGCGCCGCCCATGGACAACCACAACATTAGAGGAGCTACAAGTCCGTTGCCGATCTTTTGGGGATTAGGGATTGAAAGAGGGGACGGATTGGCCCTCGACATCCAATCACACGGCGAAACACAACAAAACTACACAGAGTTTCACGCCGATTGTCAGTGTGGACCGGAGTCCACGGACCCATTCGTGCTAAAGCATGGTTCTCCCACACCTTATTTTGTCATCATCTAAGTATAACGTCGACGTTCCTGACCATACTAATGTTGCACTTAAGTCTTCTTTTATACACATAAAAATATTACAAAACACCAGGCATTTTTTTAATGGCGGAAGATCATCTAATGAGTTTTCTCGCTCTGGATGGCACGAAAGAAGTCAGACTACTAGTTACCAACTGAAACCAAGAGCCGCAGTACAATATTGCGCAACCCAGCAGGTTACTTCTGTTTTGGATCCAGCGGGAGGAAATGCCCGAGTGTCGTCATTGTGAGGACCACCTAGAGGATACGGTGGAGCTTACGGTGGCGGTATGCCCTGCCTGGGCTGACCACCGCCGTGTCCTCAGGGAACTAATCGGCGGCGGCGACCTCTCGCGCCCGGCCTTAGTCGAGGCCATGATGCGAAGTGAGAGCAACTGGAAAGCCGTCTCCCCTGTCTGCATATACGCAAAGGAGGAGGCGAAAGTGAAGAAACTATCCTCCTCGCGCCCCAGCCGCCGCAGTAGGCGACATTCCGGGTGTCGGGGATCTGGAGATGATCTCCGGCCACCGTAAGCGCGGGTCTGCGGAGGGCGAGTAAGGGCAACTCGCCGCCCGACCAGAACCAGACCCAAGCGTACGGCACTAAATTTTCCGCGCGCGCCTCAAAGAGCCAATAGACCAACATAGGCGGGGCCTAACAGGGCTGATGTCCAGCCGGGGTTGCAGAGCAAGCCCAATAAGGTACTACGGCCTCAGCATGGAGCAGGTGATAGACCGAGGGGATTTTAAGTCACTAAGAGTCTGACACTCCTTCGTGCCATACCCTAGATAAGAGAAGTCACAAGACAATTTTCCCACCACAAATAAAAAAAAACCGCAACCCTCAAAGACCTCAATATAATCTAGTATAAACCACATAGTAAATAATTGATTACTTATTGTAAAATCTGATTAGTTGACAAGTATAGTAAGTAACACGTATGTCGTCGAAATCGATAGTAGGTACCTACCTAATTTAATTAGAAACTAAAATCTGTAACTAACGTTAGGTATTGTGCCAGAGAATGTTAAGTAACACCAACACACAATTCGCAGACTGATTTATGCATACTTCTGAGAAGTATACCGAAATTAGTTCGCGAGATATTGTCCAAGATTGCGTCTTATAAGTAGGTGGCAACATTATTTTAGCTCTAATGGCTGCAATCGACTTTCGGTTTTAATTGTTAATTAATCCAGTTACTTTAGCGTCAGTATTTTCAACTCCATTTTGCCACGATTTAAAACATGCGTTGCATATATGTCTCTGTAAATACATTAGTAATATGCGTAAGTTGCTATTTAGTTCAGTTTTTAAGTTTCTTCTTTTGCGATTCCGAATATGCAAGCAATGGGCGCCGCCGTCCATGAACACCCCCAACACCATATGAGTTACAAGTGCGCTTCCAGCCTTTTGGGGATAAGGGTTTCGGATATTTCACCAGTCCACCTTGTACACAGATGTATGTGCAAAAGTATAATAAATAAATAAATTAATATTTAAGGATTGGGGAGGGATGAGGGAAGGGAAGAGGGAGAGATTGGGCTTCCGGTAGATAACCTCACTGACATAGCGAAATACAAAGCTGTAGTTGTTTCACGCCGGATTTCTGTAATAATTATAATCTACATAAAGAATTGCCAAGTTGTGTACTTCAGATTATATTTGTCAGGGTCGTGGTAGTCCGGATATTAAAGCCTCCTTCTCATTAGGGGATGGGTTCGATTAAGGCTAAGTGATATGTCCTTTTTTTACGGGGATTTAGACACCACTGACATACGGTGAAGGAAGGCATAGTGAGGAAACCAGAACTAAAATTTCTAAGTAGGTGCAATATTGAAATCATGAATCCGTCTTACCTAGGTTATAATTTCTAAATAGAACTTTAAAATCACCAATCCGCCTTGAGCGATCGTAATGCACAATCCTTTTCCGTGCGAGAAGTGTCAGAAGTTTCTCAGCAGTGGGTACTTGTAGGCTGATAGTTATGCTGATGATGAGAATTCAGTTTTATAACAAAATTCGATACCTACATGTCGACCTTAATAATAAAGCGTGTTGAAAAATATTAATCCTCCTAAGAGCTTCATCATACTTTGTCGGATAATAGCTTCTTAAATTCCATGTCAAATTAATCAATGCTCATTAGAACAAATATCAATAGGGGAAAAGTAAACAATTTGGCGTTTCATTTAGCAAGGGAACTCATTAGTATTAAAGAAACAATGACAACGGACCTACATATGTATTACATAACATTTAGTTAATGTATTATTGATCGCGTGGATATTCCCATCAGGATAAGTTGCCAGTGTCTAGATATTAATCATAATTCATAACACACAACATGACTTTTAGTGACCAAAGAGGTGTATTACTTATTTATTTTCATTTAAATTTGGAAGAGCTTTGCTTCGGTGCGAATGGACCACGGCCTCACAGAATACCAGCGTAAGATGTACCTAAGTTGTGTTTCGCCTCTATGAGGACCGGAGGCCCAATCCTTCATAATATGCAAAAAAAGGCCCGCAACGCACTTTTAGTAACTCTTTTGACATTAAGAGTGTCCTCGGACGACATCGATTGCTAACCGTAAGTCGTCTCCTTGTTTCATAAGCTAAAGGTACTTTAAAAATTTATTCTACCCGCGCTGGTTGAAGTGAGAGGGAATGTCAGTATAGTAAGTTTTAAGTGTGGGAGAGCCATGCTTCGGCACGAATGGATCGGCTCGACCGGAGCGATACCACGTCTTCACAGAATACCGGCGTGAAACAACCCACAGCGTTGTGATTCGCCGTTTGAGTGAGGTTACCGCAGGTCCAATCCCTCCCCTTCCCCTATCCCTTCCCGATCCTTATATCCGCAACCCCTATCTCCAAAAGGCCGGCAAAGCACTCGTAACTCCTTTGGAGTTGCGGGTGTCCATGGGAGGCGCCGATTGCTTACTATCAGGTAGGTAATCTGTCTGCTCGTTTGTCGACTTATAAAAAAGTACTGTCTAACTGGCTAAAACACACCCTGTTTCGGTTCATATGTAAACTACTGAGCTCTATCTGAATTCCTATTTTATAGCTGATGTCTCAACTGATGATGATCTCGAAGACAAAATGCCCGTACCTATCAAAGGATAATTAACAAAAAACCGCAACCCGCGGCTGACCGTGACAGTTCACAGGATGGCTGCGGCGCGCGGCGCCGCTGTCATCCAATTTGCCGAATTCGATTCCCACACGGCACAACTTTTTAATGATTGATTAATTATTATATATGTCTTTGTAAACGTGCCCAAGACTCGAGAAAGGGGCAACGTTTTATTCATATAAAAAACTTGCTGCACTTTTTACTTTTTACTACGAGTTTGGCAGAGGTCAGAGTCAAGTTTGTCTGGTCACCTAAAAAAACTAAGGTTACCACCAAAGAAAAAAAACCATCGACCAGTCTCTATCAAAATTATATTAAATGTGAGAAAAACGTATTGTATTGTACACATACCGACATCTACATTTTGCTGCAGGAACTAAACTCACTATCGCTCTGTCCCGCTCATTCGTTTTAAAATCGTAATACAAAACACTCTATCTTTTAATTCACCACTACTCTAACAGAGGGCGCTACGATTTGAAACTACAACTCCGTTTGGTATATTTTATCGCTCAAAGGAGTTGTTTGCGAACGTATTAAACTTTGTATTATTAGCAAATATTCACAGAGTATTCGTATAAGATACCTACGTTTTTTCAAGGATAAATATTTATATGACTATGTTTTCCCAGTTAAGTTCGTTGCACCACGAATCACACTTCGGTAGGTACCTACTACTCTCTAGTTTAAAGTAATCTGGTACTAACCTTAGTGTCGTACCGTACTACTCATTCATAAGTACGTAAATAAACACATCACAGTTTAAAATAAAACTTACCGTACCACAACAGGAACTTTTCTTGTAATTATACCTATCTGTACGTAAACTATGTAGAATTTGGCAAGAGAATTTCTTATACTAGGAATCATAAAAACAATGTCAGAAGGATTTTTTTTAATATATCTATAAGTACTAATATTATAAGGAGGTAAAAATTGTAAATGTGTACCTAAGTTTATATGTTTGTAAGTTTGTTTGTAGGGGGTAATCTTTGGAATCGATTTCCAAAATTCTTTCACTGATAGATAGCTACAATGTTCCTAAATGCTAAAGGCTATAAAACATCACGCTATGATCAAATGGAGCCGAGCAGCGAGTGGAACCGCGCGAGACTAGCTAAAAAGCAATATGTAGATAAATATAGGTAATAACGATATTATCAGCGAGCAGGTTTAAATTAATGAAGATACCTATTCAATAAATTGTGATGTTAAATCAGTAATCTTCATAACGATTAACTTATAATTATTCTAATTATAAGGTTGGATGAGATCATTCTCACACAGTAAACGGCCTCTATCATCAGTACAACTGCATTAATTAAAACACCGTCATCAATTTACAACTTATAATTAAAAAATAACAAGCTATGCATTGAAAACTCATTGAAAAGCGTATGTTACATGGTCTGCAGGAAAGAACTATAATCCTGCAATTACGTATTCAATACAATACGATAAAAGAAGGCTTTTACATAGCAGTAACTTTCAAATCTGCGTTTTGTACCAAAGCGAGTACGCCACGTGTACGAAGCGACTACGCTTCTGCCATCTTCTGCGTAGCAATGACTACGCGGGTTAGTGACTACAGATTCGACAACGCAATGTTCTTATGTCCACATAAGAACTACGCGGCTACACACCTTCGCAAGGTGTACCAGTACAAAATGTACAAATCATATTTCATCGCATCGTCGCGCATCGTAACGAATACGACGCGGTTACGCTAAAGCGTAGCAACTATACGACGTCTACGTTTTTTCGTAACAACTATAATAGTCTTTAAATCGACTCACTGGAATGATGCAAATATGTTTAGTTCCAAAATTGATACAATATTCAAAGAACTAAGTAATGCAGCCAGTGTAATATGCAAAAAACCAGACCATTCTAAGAGCTAGATTCAAATAAGTCTCAGATAGGAAACAACAGACAAATGCGCCCGTAAATGTCACAACTATACAATAGGCTGATTCACAGCATTGTAGTAACTCAGTCAGGCGACTAGATCAAGGTTACCCGCACCTACAGTACAGGCGCTAGCAGATCAAGCTGCCACACAATGTCATTTTTTTGATTATAATTTCGACTTTATATCAACAGAATAAAATTGAAAATCGAATGAACGCAGAAAAGTATAGGTTGACCCGCTGGCCACTGTACATTGTACACCAATAAACCAGCTCTATAGTCTGCCCTGATCACGTCACAGAACCGTTTAGATCGTTTAGACGGCCTAGGGATGAGTTCGACAGAATGTATATAGAGGTGACATCAGTTTATTGGTCGATTACCAAGACCTAGAATTGTGATTGCAATGTCTTTTCCAAGAAATTACTATTAGAACTCTACGTTTATTTTTTTGCCAAGCTTAGAATAGTAGACGAAACGGTTTTTAGTCAGTAAAATTGTAAAAATCCCTCTCGCCACCCTTGGTGGGAGAAGTCATTCAAATAAGTGCTAATTGTGCACTCTACAGCTGTACGCCTGTTTTTTGTTAGTTTTTTAATAATTTTTACAATTATATAAATAAATAAATTATTATGCTTAGCAGCTTACTAATGTTTGACGAGCAACTCGATTAGTTTCAAGCCACGCTAAGGACTCA